GCTTCCAAAAGTTTATGGACGGGACTAGCAGTTAACGTAATGGCTATGTCGCTGGACTCCCATGTAGTCGACCGCAATTCACGTCCCGGACTCAGTGGCTTAAAGCTCACACCGGGCGTATGTGCGTGTGTGCCCAAGATCTCGAGAGGAGAATGGAGGAGAAGGAATTGCAGCGTGGCCATCCCCCTGGGGGTTGATTTCTCGCTCTCTCTCTCTCTCTCTCTCTCTGTCTGGTGAGTACACGTGCCCTATAGCAAACACCTCTCAAAAAAAATGTTTATGGAAAGTGAAATTAAAGTACAAGTTTATTTTAGTGCAAAAAATCTTTTGAAGTCCATGTATTTTTCATGAACTTTCAAGGAGTCCGCATATTGACATGTTTTGCTTTAAGTAACAGCAACGGGCTGGGAGACTGTTCTAGACCAAAGTCCCCTTGTGTGGAGTGTGTGTGTGTAGTTGCTTGCAGCCTCTCCTTGCTGAGCCCCTCCCTGGGATGCAAGGCCTCACACCTGCCCTTCTCCCCTGCCTGGAGCACCCAGAGCCCCAGCACAGGTCGGGGTTGCTGTGAAGGAGCGCTAAGGCCTGCCCTGCCGCTGTAGCATCTAGCACACGTAGCCCTGCCCCAGACCTCCAGAGTCGTGGGGGCCCTGTGGCTCCCGGCTCCAGATGCTCAGCAGATGCCAGGCCTGGGACGGAGGCCGCGCCTCTGAGGACTTGGCTTGCTGTTCTGGAAGGTGATCCTGGCCGGCAGCCGTTCCTGAGCCCCTGTTCGGAGCAGTTGTCAGGCAGTTGCTGACTTCCAGCCCCCTCCCCAGCAGGGCCGAGTGATCTCATGCCCGTGAGATACCGCAGCCGGGGAGCAGAGGGGTTCAGCCACAAGCAGGTGCCAGGCCAGGGCAGTGTGCGGGGCTCTGCCCCTTCAGTAGCCCTGGTGCCCTCCTAAAGGGGTGTGCGGAGTGTTCTCCCAGAGCCCGTCCTAACCACCCAGGGACATGGCCTTGCCCGTCAGAAGGAGGGGATCCGAGTACAAGGGGGCTTGCCTCCAGGGTCTACTACCAGAGCCCCCTCCACTGCCCTGCACTGCCTCAGAGCCCTGCCTTCCCTGGCTAAGGGAAGCCCTCAACCCCAGAGCTAGCTTTTGGCCAGGAAAGAACACCAAGTGGGAGCCCAGAGACCCTGGGCCTGGGCCACGGGCTGCGGATCATGAACTGTAAGGATCCTTTCTGCCCAGAAGTTCCTGGGTTCTAAGCTCCTGCCACGTCCCAGGTCCTGCAGAAGGAAGATGCTGGGGGCCCCCTGCTGGCCTTCCTGTGAAATGGACCAGGGCGTTGGGACTCCTTAGACCCAGGAGAGTGGAGTCTCTGCTGGCCCCAGACGAGAGCAGCAGCACCCCCTCACCTCAGGCACTGCCCAGCCGGCTTTCCATGCTGTGGTGCCTGGCCCCGTTTCTGACAGTGACTCCTGAACTCAGTGGAACTCTGGCTGGCAGCTTGGCTCGGCCTCCCTGTGCCGGACTCCACAGGGCCCACCTTCCAGCCCCCACGAAGGCCTTGACCACCACAGCGCATGCCTGGCCTCCCTCCTGCCAGCTCATGCTCACAATCTGGCCCCTCCCTGTGTCCCCTCCACCCCACCTGCAGGCATAAGGAGGACTTTGAAGACAGGTTGCGGGGAAGTGGTCCCTGCAGCTCTCCGAGAACACAGACAAGCGTTGGCAGCACCCCAGGAATCGGGACTTACTGCCGCCATCTCCCCATTGGGGGTCGCTGACATTTGTCAGGGCGTGAGTGTTTGATGTCACCCAGCTGTCTTGGAGAGAGTTTCAAGGCTGCTGTCTTAACACTCAACCTGCGGAGGGAGGGAGGGAGGGCCTGAGGCTGGAGGCTGCAGAGGAATGGAGACGAAGAGACACCAAAGGACATGTCCAAGTTTAGCCCATGTTCAAAGCGGCATCAAACCGCGTTCCAGGTTAACAGGAGTAAGACTTGCCTGTGTCTGAATAGGCCTTGGGTGGCTGCCGGAACTGTGCGGGGGTCCAGGGAGGACAAGTCCTGGCTTCACTGGACAAGCTTCTGGCTTGGGGTCTGCCACTCTGCGGGGGCCGCCCAGCCTCAGCCCCACCCTCTGTCTGTCTCTTCCCTCTGTTCTCACCATTGTCCTTATGCAAGAGTATGGGGGTGCAGTGGCGAACCCCTGAAGGTCCTGGAGCAGGAGCGCGTATTGGCTGAAAGTGGAATGGGGTGTCGGGGCCAGGCCAAGCTGCCCTCACAGCCTCTGCTACCTCACCCTGCCCACCACTGCGCAGAAACCTGCTATGGGGCCATGCTGCCCCCTGCTGGCCTTGCGGACAAGGTGCAGCCCAGTGCCCTGGTGCAGGCTCCCTCTTGCCCCACTCCCGCCTGCAGCTGGGCTGGAGACCATGCAGACTGGGAGCTCCCTGGCCACGAGGGTTCCAACTGTACGGGGCAAGTCTAGGACCGGGCCGGCACATAGTGATAACGGTGCTAAGCCAACGAACAAAAGGAGCAGACGCTTGCGTCTGGGACGCCGTGACGTGGCCTGACCCAGGGCACAGGGTAGACCTTGTCAGTGTTTCCCGACACCTCTCGGGTCAATGAGGTCTGAACAGAGAAACCAAATCCGAGGAGTCTGTGGCGAGGGGCACTATCTCAGGCAGCCCGGAGCAGTAAGTGCTCGAAGGGGCAGGGAGGGGCTTCAGTCTGGCCTTTGGGGGAAGCTTAGACAGCAGCGAAGGAGGGGGCAGAGCAGTGGGGAGAGGCGGAGAGCATGGTGGGGAACCCCAGACAGCCATTCGGCAGGGGGTGGGGAGGAAGGCACCGCTTGTGTCTCGAGGTTGTTCTGTGCCCAGCACAGGGTCCGCCTTCGGAGCATCTTACGAGGAGACTTCAAGCAGTTCTTGGGGAAGTGGAATTCGAGTACAAGTTTATTTTGGTACAAAACATTTTTGAAACCCATGTGTAGCTTTTGCAGAAGATTTTCATTTCCCACGAACTTTTTGGAGCCCCTCGTATGCTCTCACCTTCCCAAGAGGCCTGTGGTCAGGAGGTCGTCACCCTCTCGGGTATGAGGAGAGGCTTGGGAGGTCTAGGCCTTCTTCAGGATCCCACCGCACGCCGTGGTGGAGCCAGGGTGGAGACCCCTTCCAGAAGACTTGGAGCATGGCTCAGGGGCTTGGATAGGATCTTCACCAGGAAGTGCTGGCACAAAGACAGACTGGAGGGCGGGGGGCAGGGTGAGCACTGGGGGCGCGCGGAAGCTCCCTACCCCACAGCTGGGTCTCCTGCCTGGTGGAGGGGCCAGCTGGGGCCTGACCCATGCAGTCCCGTGCCCAAGCTCTAACCCTGCCCTGCCATGGACCTCGGGCCCACCAAAGGAGTCCCCACCAAGGAGCACGTGGGAGTGCAGGGCTGGCGTCACCTCCCTCAGGCCCAGGCCTGCTCCTGGCCCCAGCTGCTGCTGCCTGCTCTGCTGGGCCCTTTGCCCAGTCCCTCCTCTGCAGAGAGTGCTCCCAGGGAGGCAGGTGTGCTCAGGACAGCTGGGCAGAGCAGAGCCACACCCCTCCGGGCAGAGGAGGGGCCTTGCACACTGGGGCGCTCCCCCCATGTCTGTTCGGCTCAAGTACAGGGCTAGTCCCGCAGCACGGCCCATGCCTCTAAGAACGGGCCGTCCTCAGGCTTTCCGCAGCAGCCAGGTCTGCTGGAGCTTCTTCCCTGGCCTCCCTGCCTGCACGAGAGAATTCCAGGGCTAGACACGCAGCCCTGGGCCAGGCAGGAAAGGGAGGGCTCCCCACAAGGGACATCCTGTCCTGGTCACCGTAGCACCAGCCTGTGCCCAGCCCCCTTGGCAGAGGCTTGAGCTCTTGTGTCCTGCCAAGGACACTCCGGATGGGGCAGAGCAGCACGCGGCCTCCTACCCCAGGTCAGGGGCATGCTGACCTCAGCTGGGGGCTGTGTGATGGGGCCCCCTCAGCCCCTGGACTCCTGGGTCCACCTCCTCCATCTCCCATTGGTCTCTGCTCCCACTTGGGGTCCTTGGCTCACCTCCACTTTCATTTGGATCTGGACCCATTTGAACTTCTGGTCAGATCTAATTCTACTCAGTGAAGCAGAGCGAGAGTGGTAACTCCTAAGAGGTCACGTGCCGGGCCCAGCATATTCGCTTTGTCCCCAGATCAGTATTTCCCTCACTATCTGAGCTGCCCTGGGTGGGAGCGTGTCTTCTCCTGGAACATTCCCCCGGGGAGAAGAGTGCGTTATCACACGGCCTAGAGAGCTCCCTGAGCAGCCCGGGTCCTGGTGGTGTGCATGAGCACAGCGCTCCTTGCTGCAGGGCTGCCCTGGGGGGTGCCAGGCATCTGGCCATTCCACAGAGATCACTGGCCTTCTCTGGCTCAGAACCAGGGTGTGAGCTCTGGACCAGCAACAGGGAAGGAGACAGACTGACCTGCCCTCCAGGAGCCCAAGTGGTGGGCAAGACAGTGTGCAGGCGGGCACATCTGATGATGCGGGTCCAGCCCCAATGGCACAGTGGTTAAAGCACATGGATCCCACATGGCCAGCTGCATGGTTCAAGTCCCAGACCCAGCAGCTTGGAAAACGTGCTGGACACATGTGCATGCATACCCAGAATCCTGAGAGGGGAGGGGAGGAGAAGGAATTGAGCATGGCCATCCCCCTTGGGGGTGCTTTCTCACTTTCCATTTTTCTCTCTTCCTCTCTGTCAGTTTCTCTAGCGGGCACATGTGCCCTGTAACAAATTAAAATAATAATGACGATGATAAAATTCAAGACAAAGATGCTGGCAGTAGATTGGTGCAGGAAGGGTGGGGTAGGGCAGGAGAGGAAGCCACTGGAGGGTTAAGTGAGACCACGGGGCTGGAGGTCACCTGCACACTGAGGCCTGAGGGCAAGGAGGCCAGCCACACCGAGGGCTGGGAGCCTGGGTGGCATGTCCTGACCCCTCTCATCGCCCCTCTGCAGGCTGGTGGAGGAGTTCATGCTCCTGGCCAACATGGCAGTCGCCCACAAGATCCACCGCGCCTTCCCCACACGGGCCCTGCTGCGCAGGCACCCCCCGCCCCAGGTGAAGATGCTGGAGGACCTGGAGGAGTTCTGCGACCAGATGGGCCTCTCCATGGACTTCAGCTCTGCGGGGGCCCTCAACGTGAGTGCCAGGCTGACGGGCAATGACGGCGCGGCCCGTCCTGGGAGGAGATGGAAGTGCTCCCTGCAGCCCTGCCAGGGAAGCGGGCCCGGGGGGACGCTGAGGCTGGGTGCTCCCTCACAGGACTGCCTCGGGGAGGCTGCTGGTGGTGAGATGCGGATAGGACTCCTATGGCAGGAACTGGCTGGGCCTGGCCCCAGGCGCTCTGGGCCTGGGGCTGGGGTGACGAAGCTGCCGCATCATTTGGGTAGTGGTTCTGGAGCTCCCCACCTGGAGCACAGCCTCACAGCCTCGCACAGCCTCCCACGCCAGGCACCCATGGCCTTGAAAGGAGCTTCTCGCCCAAGCTGGGAGCCCCAGGGCAGAGACTGGAACTAGCTTTCCAGGCCCATCAGCTAGACGTTCATGGACCCGCTCAGGCTCGGCCAGGCCTCAGGCTGCGCTGCTGCCCCTCCTGCCCCCACCTGTAGCCACTGGTGAGGGCTGGGCCCCACAGCTCACCCCACGCCTCCGGAGCTGACTGTCAGGTGGTGACCAAGCTGGCCACCTATCACACCGATTTCTGGGCTTGGCTTCTAGAAAAGTCTGACTGAGACATTCGGAGATGACAAGTACTCGCTGGCCCGGAAGGAGGTGCTCACCAACATGTGCTCTCGGCCCATGCAGGTAAGGGGACCTAGGTCTGCCCTCCCAGCCGCCACCAGGACCCCTCCCTGGCCCATGACCTCCATGTGCCGCAGAGTCCCTGCCATTCCCGCTCTGCTCTGGGACCTGGCTGGGTGGAGAGGGGCTTTAGGAGAGGGTGCCAGGCCTCTGGCCATTCCTCAGAGACAGTTGGACCTTCTCTGGGTCAGGACCAGGGTGTGAACTCTGGACCCGCAACGGGGAAGGAGACTGACTGACCTGCCCTCCAGCAGCCCAAGCGGTGGGCAAGAGAGCATGCAGGCAGGCACATCTGCAGATGTGTGTCCAGCCCCAATGGCACAGTGGTTAAAGCAGCTGGATCCCACTTGGCCAACTGCATGGTTCAAGTCCCAGACCCAGCAGCTTGGAAAACGTGCTGGGCGCCTGTGCATGCGTGCCCAGAATCCTGAGAGGAGAGTGGAGGAGAAGGGTTTGAGCATGGCCACCCTCTCTAGAGGACTTTACCTCTTCTCTGTTTCTCTCTCTGTGTCCCTCTGGCCTCCAATCCCCCCCCCACACACACAGAAAATAGAACCACTCCCACGGTGGGGGAAGGGTAGAGCAGGGGAGGATGCCCCGGGCAGCACCCAGGACAGGTGAGCCCTGAGTCCTAGAAGAGCCTGCCCACAGCCTCCTCTCAGTCTTGCCCAAAGGCACCTCTCAGAGCTAAGACTGCTCAGCACCTAAGGGTGGCCAGGGCTCCCAGACCCGAGAGAGGGTCTCGTGGGGTAGCCCGCCCAGGGAACACCCCTTACCTCCACCCACCCCAGCCCATGGAGTCCAGGCCAAGCAGTCTGCCTCTCGCCAGTGTGGAGGAGGAGAGGTGGTGGCCACGGGCCTGCGCCCGTCTGTGGGCAGGTGGCCATTTGCAGGCGCCATTGGCACTGTCACCTCACCATCGCTGTCACAGCCCCGCTGGCTGAACTCCAGTGCTTCGGCATACAGGAGCAGGGCTGCCCTGGGGACTGTTGGATCAGCCGTGGGCCCAGCCAGCCAGGGCAGGGGCAGGCCACTCGTCGGCCCAGCCCACTCACAAGGACCAGGCAGCCTCATCAGCCACACTGATTTATTCCCTGCCACCTCAGGGCTCTGCTCAGAGGAGCCCCTGGGACCTGGCTGCCCCGGCCTGCCCCAACTCAGCTTCTGGCCCAGGCACAGCGTCTTGCAGTAATGCCCCGGCCGGCCTGCGGCATGGAGGTTAGGGCAGCTGGGTCCCACATGTCCAACTGCATAGTTCGAGTCCCAAACCCGGCAGTTTGAAAAACATGCCAGGCATGTGTGTGTGCGTGCCCCAAGTACCAGAGGGGGGTGGAAGGAGAAGGGATGGCTGAGTGGCCTCCCCGCCGAGGCCAAGGAGCAGTTTCTCACTTCCCCTCCCCTCTCTGGCAAGTGTACCTCTAGCAAATTTTAAATAGATAAAATAAAATGACTGCCTCCTGGCCATGTCCTGCACCCCATGACCTGCCCAGACATACCCTGGAGCCTAGCAGGGGCTGGAAGCAGTGGAGATGGGGGCCCAGCAGGACGCCGAGTCCCAGGCCCAGTGCAGAGTCACCAGGACTGGTCGCATTCGGCCAAGCACACCGGAGAATGCAATGGGACCACGGTGTGGCTTTGGCCCATGGGCCAGGGGCCTGTTCGCTTGGCCATGGTGCCCGGGTTCCCAGCTGGGGTGCAGCTTCTGAGGCTGTGGCCAAGGCCCGGTTGGGCTATGAGCAGGCCCCTTGAGGTACTTAGTATCTCCCTGCACCCGGGCTGATTGCTTCCTGCGGAGGGCCCCTGAGCTCAGACCTCTGTGCTCGGCTCCAGGGAGCATCGGGTATTCAGGGACAAGAAGGGCGGAGGCTGCAGCTCGTGAGCTGCCTCCTACAGCTGGCATGGGGTGGAGTACTAGGGGCACAGAGGTGCAGGGCTGTGGACACGCCTTTAGCCTGGCAGGGTTGGGGCCACTGGGAGTGAGGGTGGCTCTTCAGCCGGAGAGGGCATGGCCCCTTTGGCTCTGCCCAGTCTCTGTGCACCCTGTGCAGAATGGCCCTGGCTGCCATGGGCCTACCTGGCTTGGCCCAGCTGTCTACCACCTGTCAGGGCAGCCATGCCACAACTGCCCCTGGCGAGGCCAGGGAGCCCTGAGACCTGCCCCCTCCCCAGATGGCGGTGTACTTCTGCTCAGGGGTGCTGCGGGACCTGGTCCAGTTCCGGCACTACGCCCTCAACGTGCCGCTCTACACGCACTTCACCTCTCCCATCCGCCGCTTCGCCGATGTCCTGGTGCACCGCCTCCTGGCTGCAGCGCTAGGTAAGGGGCGGGCCAGCCAAGGACTCACCAGACCAGGTGCCCAGTGATCAGAGGCCACTCCACTCTGATCACGGACTCCCACGGGACAGACAGCCACGCACAGGAGAACCTGGGTCTGGAAGCTCCCACTACCCAGTGCGTGGTGCTGGGGAACTGGACCAAGGTGGAGCTCGAGGGCCCTAACACGGCAGTGGCCCCGCTCAGCTCCGGAGCTGGGAGGGAGCCACGGCATGGCTCTCACCACCCACCCACGCTCACACGCAGCACCTGCCAGCGGCCCTGACCACCCTCTTCCTAGGCTACCAGGAGCTGCCAGATGTGGAGCCGGAAGCCCTGCAGAAGCAGGCCGACCACTGCAACAGCCGCCGTGTGGCATCCAAGCGCGTGCAGGAGCTCAGCACCAACCTCTTCTTTGCTGTCCTGGTCAAGGTGAGCCTGCCAGCCCGGCACCCCTCCATCCCTCGCCAGAAGCCCTTGGGAAGTGCTGGGGGTCTGGGAGGGTGGCATAGCTGGAGTGCCGTCTCTGCAGGAGAGTGGCCCCCTGGAGTCGGAAGCCATGGTGATGGGCGTCCTGAACCAAGCCTTCGACGTGCTGGTGTTGCGCTACGGCGTGCAGAAGCGCATCTACTGCAACGTGAGTGCCACGCCCAGGCCCGCACTGCGGCTCCCCTGTCCTGCACCCCGTCTCCGCCTCTCTGCTGGGGCTGGTCCCTACAGCCTGACCCAGGACAGCCCTCCGTAGTCTAAGCATAGGGGTGGAGGGAGCCACGGAGGACCCTGCCTTCCCTGTCCCCACCAGGGGGATCCAAGCTGTGGTGGGTCGCACCTACCCCTCGCTCAGCTGTGGGTGTGCTGGCACATGGCAGAGGGGATAGGGCCTCAACCCTGCTCCCCTCCCTTCTCCAGCAACAAGCCCACCTGGGGCCTCTGTCCCGACATTCAGCTCTGTCCGCTCAGGTGGGGATCCAGGCAGGGCCTCTTCCCCGAGTTCACAGGAGGAGGGGTGTGCCACTTGGTCTTTCCCTCATGGGGCTTGGGGGAGAGAAAGAGACAGAGTCCTGCTGTGCCGCGATCCCCCCGCCCCAGCCTCCCATCAGCTAGGTCTCCAGGTGCACACGACTACACCCAGTGGTTCAGGCTGGCCCACCAGGCCTCCACGCAGGCGCTGCCTCTGGCCGCCACAGTGGGGCCCGGACTTTCCGCGCCAGGAACATGAAGGAAGGCAGGCCGGAAGGGTCTACAGCCACTCTGGGAGCTCAAGAGAAGAGAATGTCCTCTTGGCCCCTGGCCTTGGTGACTGGCTGGTGAAGGTTCTCCAAGGGAACCCCGTGCCTGTCCTATGCTGCAAAAATACAGACCTGCAGACAGAGTTAGGGCAGGCACCAGGTCCCCTCAGAGAGAACCCTAAGTAAGTGCAGAACTACCTTCAGGTGATGCATAGAAGGTGTGTAGGAGGCACGTGGATTTCCTGTTAGCCTGGGCCCCATCTGTCCATCTCATGAATATACTGATACTGGGACCAGCAGTTAGTGTAATGTCTATGTCGCTGGACTCCCATGTAGTCGACCGCGGTTCGCGTCCCGGACCCGGTGGCTTAAACTCACGCCAGGCGTGTGTGCGTGTGTGCCCAAGATCCCAAGAGGAGAATGGAGGAGAAGGGATTGTGGCGTGGCCATCCCCCCGGGGGTTGATTTCTCACTTTTTGTCTCTCTGTCTCTCTGGCGAGCGCATGCGCCCTGTAGCAAAAACCTCTCAAAAAAAAAAAAAAAGAATATACTGATACTCCAAAATTCAAAAGTATTTGAGATCTGAAACTGTTCTGGTCCCAGCATCTTGGATCAGGGCTCCTCGGCCTACATCAGTGAGCTAGAGTAGAACAACAGAGAAGCATTCGGAGCGCTGGTCCTGAGCTTCTCCGAGCAGAGGGAGGTTCAGGCTTAGCGCAGCTCTGCAGTGAGCCCAGCCCTCAGCCTGTGCTAGGAACGCAGCACCAGCAGGGGGCGCAGGCCTCCGTTCTCTGCATTCTGTCCACCTTGTCCCCCAACACACACACACACACACACACACACACACCGGGGCAGTGCATTCAGCCCTGGGCAGACCCAGGAGGTCACACTCGGAGCCCTTTGCTCCTCCCAGCCCCGGCTCCTTGGTATCTGGCACTTTCCGGGGCTGCCTCGGCCATAGGCAGCCTGGCAGGGCCTCCTGGAAGCTGGCATGGAGCCAGGGTCAGGTGGTCCCTGCATCAGGTCAGGCAGCAGCGGCAAGGCCAGTCAGAAACAGCCTAGGGCAGAGGCCCACCACCAGCATCGAGGCTTCCCAGGGTGGGAGGTTTGGAGGCGGCACTCAGAGCCTGAGGCCTGAGGTGCTAGCATGTGCTCCCCAGGCCCTGGCGCTGCGGTCCCACCACTTCCAGAAGGTGGGCAAGAAGCCGGAGCTCACGCTCATCTGGGAGCCTGAGGACAGCGAGCAGGAGCCGACCCGGCAGGTCAGACCATTGTGCGCCCCAACCTGGCTGAGCGCCCCTGCCTCCTAGGAGCACCGTGCCCTCCTCCATCCCGAGGTCCCCCAGTGCTGCGGGCCGCGGGTGGGCTGCTCGAGGAGCTTTCTCCTGCGGGCCGCAGCTCTCCAGGGCCACCTTTTCCCACGTGGAGCGCCCACAGTGGGACAGGGTCCCGCGGCAGGGGTGACCTGACTCCCTCAGTTGTCCCCGGCCGCGGCATCAGTGCCTGGCATCAGAGCGGAGCTGGCTGTGACCGCAGGCCTGGCCCCGCTCACCGTGCGGCCCTGCCACAGGTCATCACCATCTTCAGCCTGGTGGAAGTGGTCCTGCGGGCGGAGGCCGTGGCCCTCAAGTACAGCGCCATCCTGAAGCGGCCGGGCACCGAGACGTCCCTGGGCTTGGAGCAGGAGGAGTCGGAGGACGAGCCCGAGGACTGAGACGCCGGCCCCGCCAGCCGCGCCGGCCCCGCCGGCCCTGGCCCCCGCCCCACCGGCCACTCACTGCCCCACCCTGCTGGCTTTTAGGAATAGGACCTTTTGACACCAAAGGGGATTTTTAATTTGGTTTTTAACAACTCAGGGGTTTGTTTTTATTTTTATTTTTTTATTTTATTTTTGCAGCTCAGTTTTTAATGAACTGGAGGGGAGAGGGTGGGGCTGGACGGAACTGAGGCCTGGCCAGAGCTGAACTGAGCAGAGCAGCCCCGGCTCCCAGAGGCCATTCCGCCAGGCCTCCCACTGCCCTCCCCTGCCCAGAAATGGGGGTTCAGCAAATCAGTGTCATGGAATAAAATCAAGTGTGAAGTGCTGTCTGGTGCATGGGGTGCCACAGGGAGGGCAAGTGTCCTGGCCGAGGCTCAGCCCTCCTAGCTGAGAACCTTCAGAACCTTCCCGTCACATCCAGGGTGGTTTCCGGGGCCGGCTGCGTGGCAGATTGATGGCTTCTCCGTGGCTGCTTAGAAATGTAATTAGTGTGCACGCAGCAACTCGCCCACCACCCTGCCCCTTCCCTCCCCCTGCCACCGCCCCACCGGGTGGAGGGTGGGGCGCCCATCTCCGAGCTCCAAGGGATCCTATTCATACTCCTTGGTGATGGGGACACTCAGTGTCCCAGAGGCTCCTATGCCAGTCTGGTGCCCTGGCAACACCGTTGGAGCATGGAGCACAGTGAAGCCGGATCCTGCCGAGGCAAGGGAGGTCCTCAGCCTGGCCTCCCAGCGGGGCTCCTGGGAAGGCGGCTGGGCCTAGCCCCATGCCCGGTGTCCTCAGCCCCCAGTGACCTCCCCAGGGTAGAGATGACAGGTCACCACACAGGCCTCTCCCCAGCCTACCCAGCCTTGCCTGCGCCCCTGCCTGCCACCCTGAAAAACCAAGGTTGGCTTCCCCAAGAGCTGCCAGAAACGGATGGAAACCTCGACGGCGAACTTGTCTCCCCACTGTGTCCTGGGGGGCGGGGTTAGCAAGCTCATTCGATCTGGTGACCACGGATTTTCTTCAAATAACTCGGTGCAGTCCTGTAAGTGTGCCTCACAGTAACAGTCCCGGTGCCACTGCCTTACTGCCACCGCCAGGCCAGGCCAGTCCCCAGGGCACATGCCTCCCTGGCTCCCTCCCCTCCTTCCCCTCCTCAGCCTCCACAGGCAGCCTCAGCCTGTCTACCTGCCACCCCCAGGATGTCCCAGAGGCCACCACCGTCTCTGCTGCTGTCCTCAGTGCCTTCTGAGCCACAGGACTGCAAGAGAGGGTGGCGAGGGCCACCGCCTCGGGGTCTGCGTGAGGTGGCTTCACGGTGCTGCCCAGCCAGGCAGCCTGCCCAGGAGAACCCGAGTGAGGCGCCCCAGCCCATGGCTTCTCCGTGGCTGATTAGAAATGTCACCAGTGTGCACGGCAGCCCCTCCCCACACTGCCAGCCTCTGAGCAGGCGTGGCCCATCCCCTCTGGCCGTGCCAAGCCCATGTTTTCCCGGTCCCCAGGGGTCTCCCACAGAGCTGAGAGCCCCGGGCAGAGCAGAGCCTGGGGTGGGAGCAGGCCATGCTGGGGCTCCCCTGGGGGCCACAGAGCCGGGCACGGCACCCGTCCTTCCAGCCCAGGCCCACGTGGAGGGGCCAGGCAGCCGGCACAGACCCCCACAGCCTGTACCTGGCGGGAGC